TGCCTAGTATAGATGTTTGAACAGCAGATATCTCACAATAGATGCGCCTGAATAACAACTATACCATATTAGATTCACCTGAATAATATCTATCCCATAATATACGTAGCTGATTATTAGCTATCCCATATTAGATGCACCTGATCAATATCTATCCCATAATATACAATTAATAGCTATGCCATATTAGACTCAGGTCACCGGGTCATTTGTGACAAAAATCGATGAAATCTCGAATGTGGCGTCCGCTCTCGGTTCAGTAGTATATGTACAATGCCTCCCAGCACATTTTCATCATTCAAATATAGGAAATATAGGAGTGTTTATTCTCAAATATAGGAGTTTATAGGACAACTCATATGCTTATTATAGGGAATTTTGGCGTATTTAATATGAGTGTTGGCCGATCTGTGTTAAACTTTTATACACAGGTATATATACTTGGTAACAGGAAAACTGGTATTTCGCAGATCAGGAATTTCGCGCGACACAGGAAGAATTCGTGGCAAAGTTCGAGCTTGCGCAGACTGTAACTACGAACTGGCTGAACAATATCTATCCCATAATATACAATTAATAGCTATGCCATATTAGACGCACCTGATCAATATCTATCCCATAATATACAATTAATAGCTATCCCATATTAGACGCACCTGATTAATCCACGTCTCTATTTCACTAACGATATCAATGTGGAATAATCTTTTCAAGCAGCAAAGCTAGTGAATATAATCGTGTGACAATTGACGACTTCAGTGTGAATTCCCAACATGGATTTATAAACAGCAATATGACTTTATTATGCTTTTAGGCCAATTGTTTTGTTTAATTCCAGAAAATACATCGCAGGTGAAACAGCAACGCTATAGTGGTTAGAAACGAAAAGAAACGAGCTAATAATTATAAAAGACGTTTGCACAGAACGTGTACTAAAAGCATATCACGCGGAAGATAGAAACTCTACGGTGAAAAATAAGGGAAAAAAACATGAAAAAATGAAAACTGTAAAAGTAACCATTCAGTAAGTTCTACATACGACTCTGGTGACGACGCTACTAATAATGATGATGGTGATGACGATGACGATGATGATGTTGGCGATGGCGGATGGTGATGGAGAAGAAGATGATAATGGTGGTGATAGTGATGAAGAAGAGGAAGAAGAAGAAAAGGAAGAAGAAGAAGAATGAAATGATGATGATAATGATGGCTATACTCCGATTTGGTATACTAATAATAATATTAATATTTTAATGTACGATCTTATAATCGTGCCTATTCTTTGTAAATATATCACTGTGTTTAATAATCAATTGAAGTTTGCTAAACATTTGTTCCCCTACCTAGCAGGGCTTGTCTGAAGCCCTATAGGCAAAACTGCCTGAATTTAGAAGAAATACCATCTTTGTTCTGTTAATGGTTAAAATATTTAGCCAATTCATGACACATAGCATTAGCTATAATTATGTATAGCTAAACGATACCAGTGGAAATGTTTTATTATATACAATTACGCAAAAATGAATTGTGAATGTTCAACATAGAGGGGTTAGCCCCATCAAAGCCCCCTCCCCAAATAACATCGAATGTTTTCGCACATAGCTTCTCATATCACGAATATTATTCACTCGTATAACAAACGTTTAGCGGCAAATCTTTGAGGAGACTAAAATTTTGCTGTCATTTCATCATCATCATCGGCTTGCTTTGTGTATATCTTCACCTGCGGTTCCTGCTCGAATTCTGCAAAAAAACAGCCAAAATCATTGTCACCCACTGCCGCTCAGCGCCACCTAGCGACTGAATATGTTACATATGAATGCATCATAAGAAGGTTACTGTGATACTACACTACTGTGGTACGTCAGAATGCGTACATTCACATAACCAGCGTAATTTCTACACGTATTACTTATACGTGAAACGAGAATTCACGCATTCCTCTTGATTACAGTTACGGCAGCTGCTATAGTAGGTAAATATAATATCGACATGAATTAACACTGCAGCACCGGCCTTTACGTAAATCCCTGCCTTATACTGCAGACCTCCGAGATAAAATAGCGTGGCAGTGCTAAAACCCGCATCTACAACACTGGCAGTTCCAACAAATCAGTAAAAATAAAAATAATGTATAATAAATCTTATTGCACCACTAATAACTCTCCTATCTGCAGTAAACAACTCCTCACTGCAAAAGAAAAGCCTAACGTCGGCGCAAATGCTGACTCTCTGCACTACGCTGCGTACTCCCCATACATAATCCATAATACATATAATACATAATAAGGGATTAATGGGCTCTTGATATATTCTGTTAGCATTCGAAGAAAAGAAGACAAAATAAAATTTCAAAGGCATAAAAAATTTAATTCTGAAGTGTTACTGAAGTGGTAAAACTTAACAGCTGATAATTTTTTTCTTTTGCATGAATGCGTGAGAATGTCTAGGGCATGCGGGAGGGCGGGAGAATGGGTCCAGATGCGCGAGTCTCCCGCGAAATGCGATTCACAATAATTTTTTTTGATCGTTTCAGCAGATTTCGTGTCAACTGTATTACGTAATAGCAGGTGCAAACGTGATTACAATATACGCCCAAGAATCTGGGATATCACTGCAGTTTTACCAGGAGCAATCTTATCATTGATATAGATTATCAGATGATCATATTGTTGTACGGCGTTTTAGCATTGAGATAGAGACATAAGGAATTTGGCTCACTAGTAATGCAAATGTTCGGAGACCCGCCCGGCGATGGACCCAGAGTACATTAGCTACATAATTAAGAGCATACATAATTCAGCGTGGACAGAATACATTTTAGAATGGTACGAACACATTAACTTCAACAAGAATGCGATGCGGTTTATCAAACGGGCATCATTAGGCAGGCGACGTCAACGCTAGTCGGCGCTCCTACCTGGTACCATCGGACATTAGTCGCGACCGGTCATTATATCCACTACCCGAGTCATTAATTAGTTTAAGTCTAAAAAGGTCGCGGCGGGGATGCTGACGGCTTAGAAAGACCGGGTTTTGGTAGAAACCGGGAGAGACGACGGCAACCTCTGATCGGTACGTGTACACTGGTTTTTTTTATCCGTATTTGTAATAAAACTGTAATTGTCACCGTTTATACAACTGTTACGTCCTACTGTCTGCGTTCGATATATTCATCACTACAATTTGGTGCCGTGACTGCACGTAAAGAATCTTAGTCTACTTTTGCGAATAATGAAAGATTTATTATCTGGTTTTATTATCTCTGGTAGATATATAGATTCTAGTGGCGCTACCTTCAGGGGGCGAAAATGCGTTGTTGATGCCACCTGTCGTCATCTTCTCCTTCGGGTAGTGGCCGACGGAGATTGGAACGTCGGGCCAGTGCACGCCAACGAACAGCTGGTAAAGGAGCGCTCCGGCTATCGCTCCGATGTGTGGGCCCACGACGGGGATCCAGAACCAGTTATAGTCCCGGTAACTACGCGGCCAGAGAAACACATTATAGTTGTACCGGATTAATGAAATTATACCCTGGTACATTTTACCCTTATCTGCCTAGTATAGATGTTTGAACAACAGATATCTCACGATAGATGCGCCTGAATAA